CGCGCAAATACTCTTCTATTTACTGGTGAGCCAGAGCGCGTTTGCCCAAATATTCTCGTGCGCCCCGCAATCTTTTCCCCCCTTAGCGGCGCAAATGCTCTTGTCGATGTCAGCTTTGTTTGTGGTATTGCATTAGTCGCTAATGGTGCATCTGTAAGTGAACTAACTCGCGACGCATGCCCGCCTAGTGGTGGCGGCGAAACTACGCGCACGCTTGCCAAACCTCTTTTCCAATTCGCCGTACGTGCGTTGGGCAACAGTTCAGGGTTCAGCAGCATTGGCATGGAGTAGCCAGCGCGTGTGTAGGCGAGCAACGAAGGCGTTGGTGATGGGATACGCGTACGTTGCGGATTGTAGTCAAATCGCCGACCGAATGCTGGTGAAACTGTGAGCGAGCGTAAGGCGCCGGCTGTGGTGGAGCGGCGATTACTTACAAATGTTGCGAATTCTCGCTGCATGCGCTTGGCGTTTGTGGCGAGCACGCCGTTGATTGGTAGACGCGCGCGCCGTACCTTTGGACTGTCGGAATTTGTCGGACTGCTTTGACTGTTGTAATAGGCGTCGCTGTAGCAGCTGTCGTCTTCGAGTAGCGCGCGTTTTATATTCATATTCTCGATGGGTTTGGGATAGTGCGCTAGTGGTGCTGTGGGCGGGCCAAAACGTCGAAATTTGCCTCCACCTTTGAATTCATTCATTTTACGAGTTTTCGATAGATGATCGGCATGTTTCTCCCACTCGGTGGTGCCGGGACGTTTCTCCGCTGCCAACCGAGCAGCAATGCTGTGGAGAGAAAATGTTACAAGAGAGAGGGGAGAAGAAGAAGAAGAGATAATCAGTGGAAATCCGTTCAATTGCAAATCGTTATAAGTGCAAATGTGTGTATCTCAAAATCACTACGTACTTTTTACAGGTTTTGTTGCAGTTTTACAAAACTTTGCGTTGCTCGATTATGGTTCGGAAGCGTTTTTGTTTATATATATATTTTTTTGTTTTATTTTTTTTTTCAAGTTTACGTTAGAGATAAATCAGAAAAAAGAAGACCATCAACAGATAAATAAAAAGACAAATATTTACATTTAAAATTGAGATAGCAGATATTGAAAAATAACACTTTATTTATTGAAGTACATTGGAGAGGTAAGTACACAGTATGGTTGTCATAATTAATATTATATAACATTTAACTACATTTTGCGTATAAAAGTTATGTTAATATTTTTCAAAGTTATGTGATTATTATTGAAAAAATTGGTGCATTAGTTTTCACAATGTATCGCTTTGTTTTAGTTATTTACAAATTACTTAAGTTTACAAAACTAATTTCTTATATAATAAATCATAAAAAGACGAAAATTGTTGAGGCAATATGCAAGTCATTTATGAGTTTCAAGCTGAGAATAGTAGCGATGGTAGTTCTCACCTCTCTTTATTCATCTTATCTTTTCTGCTTTCCATTCTTCTTCTCACTCTTCTCTCCTATCCATACCTCTTAACTACCTAACAATAACATAGACGCTCTTCAAAGAGGAAATAATCCCTTCCCCTTGGAATGATTAGAAAAGCTAAATTTTGCAATTGACACGCGTATTTCTATGTATGTATGTAGCTAACAAATATCTCAAATATTGGAAAGGTTTCAATGACTTATCCACATACTATGCAGTATATAATCACCTCTACTTTTGACAGGAAGGTTTTCTTTGAAAAGCATACTATAACGCCATAGTTTGAGGAGCACCATGTTTTGCCTCATAAGTTCGTTAAAAGGGTCTATGAACTGATGAAATTCAGTATTACATCCGAGATCTACTGGACTCAACGGTGTACAGACAGAGCATCTACCGTTAGAAGCTCACCACTTTGGCAGTGCTGCCCCGTTAGACCCCTATTACTTTGGGCTAATTAAAACAAAAAAACATTTCTAGATCGGTTTAAACCAGGGACCGAACATAACAGTTATTGATGAAAACTGTCATTGAAAAATTCACTATGAAAGAAATGTTGTACAACTAAGTTATACATAACAATCGATTTCTTTTTTCACCGAGAATCAAAAATAAATAAATTTTTATTTGTATTTTTTTTTTGCAAAATTAAAAAACATTGATTTTTATTTTATAAATCCAAAATAACAATTATGTCATCATCGACTGCGGGCTCGGGGTCTTACAACTTTCCGTGCTGCTACCATGCAGTAGCGTGGAAAAGTGTTCCCTCCATAATTTAAGTACGTTCTGAAACACGGTAACTAGGTCGCCCTTATTCTTCCTACAGGAGTACGCCCTGGTGTTGAAACCTTCCGTAAGTCGCCTAACTCTCTGGTAAAAGTTTCGGGCATTCTTCCTGTTGGCCAGCATTTCAAGCTCTTCGCACTCACGTATTTCGGCCTCTCTCTTCTTATTGCGGCAAATACGTTTCGCTTCCATCTTCAGATCCCTATGACGGTCCCACATGGCTCGCGTTGCGCCCGATCGCAGCGTGGCCCTGTAGGCGGCATCTTTTTTCTCTGCAGCTTCCTGACACTCCTCATCGTACCAGTTGTTCTTTCGGGCTCGCTGAAATCCGACTACTTCTTCGGCGGCGGTACTTAATTAGCGGGAAATGTGGTTCCAGGTGGCAACTCGTTTTGAAAAAGTAAAATCTTATTGCACATCTATAGGCCAAGCCCTTTCATTTGACGCCTGAACAAAAAATCCCTTCGCGTATTTTATATATATAGATATAGACGTTATAGTCGAATGTAGGTGTCACCGCAAAATGTAAAAACACGACCCCTAGATTCAGCCAAAAGAAAATCAAAATTATCTCACAAAAATACTGTAGACTCGAGGATGTATGGCGAATTTATTTTGTTTGCTGGGTTTTTTTGCTGGCACAGTCTATTCTACTGATGTCTTAAGATCCATTAGGTAGAATGCGTTATACTTTCAAACTTTCTTTAAATCACTATTACTAAGCATACTTTTTCATTAATAACAGGTTATAAATCCATAGCGCATCTGCGTAGACATTCATCAGAAAACTCATAAAATAAATGCACATTTGCCCTTTCAACATCATCGATTTTTACAGAAAATCAAAAGTAAAATTTACAAAATAAATATTTGAATTAAGTACTTAAACTTGCTAGCTACGAGCTCATACAAACGCACATACATATTTCCACTAGGAAAAGAAAACTAATAAAAAAAAACTACAAAAAAACACAACTTTAATCAACTAAAACTCAACCAACTCATTTACGACAAAAGTACAATAACACAAAACGCTACAATATTAATAAACGAACGCCTACTCACTCCACGGCCGGTTCAGTGGCCGCAGTTGTTCCACTTGACGCCTCCGCTGGCGCACGATTTCCCTCGGCGAGGTGACTTTCCGTGACTGTTGTCGCTGTCGCTGCTGCCATTGTTGTCTGTGCTGTCTGCTTCACTTCCGCTCTTAACTTTTCCAGTTCTGCAATTGTCGGTTTGGGTGTTGGTGGTGTATCCTCATGCGAATTGGCCATTGCCTGTTCGATTTCTGGCTCGGGTGTTGATGTTTTCAAACTATCCAAGTCGAGTGGTGGTGTCGGTGCGCGACCGACCGCTTCTAAAGCTGCCGTATCCAGTTGATTGAGTGTTGCTTCACTTGAATGTTCTAAAGCTTTGGTGGCACCACCGCCCAAATGCAATCGTTCCAAAAGTTGATTTTTCGCTGTGTCTAATTCACCGGTCTTCTCGGTAAAAACATTACCCAACTCATGTGCAATACCTGTTACTGCAGTGCCAACTGACTCTTTGGCGCTGTCGAGCGTTTTACCAACGTTTTCGGCCACCTCTGTGAAAGAAAAAGCGGAGACAAACAGTTAAAATCCTTAAAGGTACATAAGTGTAATGAATGCAAGAAATTGTTATTATTAATATGTATTTCCTTTTAAGCGATATTCTGGTTTTGTTTTATGTAAATGCTTAAAAATTGTACGGTTCGCCTTGTTGGCCAAGTAATCAATTATACTATGAGTGGCTTAATCAGCGATTATACTCCGACGGCATCACGGCCACATCAGGCTTGCGTGTAGACTAGCGTATATATACATATGTATGTACTAACTACCACCTGAAGATCCTTCTAGCTGCCAAGTCACTCAATAGCGCAGCAATTGTTTCAGCATAATATTGGCCTTTTTAATGGCATGGATATTTGACCAGTCACGCGAGCGCCACATTCCGCATTTGCATACTAACCATACATACATTCATACATACATAGTGTACTCAAATGCCTCATCTACTCTTTTGTTTTTTTTTTCTTTTATTTAATTCATATTTTAATACTGGCTTATGCTATAAGAATGCTACTTATTTAATGTGTCTAGCACTTGAATTATTATTTCATGAAATTACCGTTGACCTGCACTTATGTAGATATGTATGAGCTTAACAAAGTCCGCACTAGGATTTGTGCGCAATGGAGCTTAAATCTTTTTATATTGATTTTATGTGCGGTATTTATTGCCTCTGTTTTATATTAAAGTTATAACTCTTTTGTGATTCTGTGTGATCTATGATAGGTTGTCATCCTGTGCTTGGAATAAAATATTTCACACTCCCTCTTCAAAGGTGATACAATTCAAAATTTTTCATTTTTTAAATTATCAAAATTAGACGTTCGTCAGAAAATTCGAAAAACTATTTCTAAGCAAATGCTAATCATTATGGGCACGGAAGACTTTGCCTTAAGTTTTTTTTCAACAAATTATAACAAAAATTTGCTGCAACCTTTGCTAAAAGGTATATAAAAGCTGAGTGTACATTTTTAGTGCATAATTTCAAAAATTGCAAATTTTGAGTTGTGTCACTTTTGAAGAACGTAAGCGATTTTAGCCTTAAAAGGTTTATTCATTTTTTTTCATTGTCACTCGAAAAAATTGCAATGGGTTTTTAATAAATTGGGAAGTTTTCAAATAGAATATTTATATTAGAGGCAATGAAAGTTGACATCACATACAGCATATCTGTGAAGTTTAAAAATAAAAAGAAAAATAAGAAAAAATTACGATAATTTGCGAAACAAAGGCATTTACGCTTTTAGATGAATTGCCTTAATATATTCTTAAAAAATACTGTAGGAAAATATTCCACGCCAATATTTAATTACTTTTAAATAATATGACTTTTAAGTTAAGGTATGCGAGTGAACGTGTTAGCTAACTGTATTTGGTGCTACGGGGCGTATACGTTACAAACAAAATTACGGGTATATGAGCACGAGTTATTATTTTGACTTTCTTTAGTACATACATATATCTTTTTCGAGTTTTCATTTAAATACAATTTCGCGATTAAATCTTGTTCTTTATGCAAAACTGAAGATAAGCGTGCCACCATTTTCGACCGAACACACATTCCATTTATTGTGTACTATGTCCGCCATTAAATTACATTGTTCCAGGCGATTCTGAGCCCTTACATTTCAGACCAGTCAATCGCGCCCTTAAGGTGGAAATGATTCCCAAAACACATACCACCTTGCTCAAAAAATCATTCAGATAGAAATAACGGAATATTTTTTTTTTGTAGAGTAGGCAATTCTCCATATAATTGCAGTGTCAAATGCGCTACGCTGCGACTAATCACTTTCGTGTAGTCAGTTGTTATTGCTTTCCTATTAAATTTTATTAATTGCGTGAATACCGTTGAGTAACATTATTTCCTGTTCACATAGTATATAACACTGTAAAAATGTGTTGTTTAATTAAACTAATTGCAGAATTTTTTCGTTGACTGTAGAGTTAAGAAAATAAAAACCAATATATATGTGTCCTTTCATATCTAATTCAATCGTTATCAATATTTTTCTGAAAACAGCGTTTAACTTCATAACTAAACAATGCTTGGCCGGCGTACACATGGGATTGACACAGAAAAATATTTTTTTAAGAGCGTTCACGCTTCGGCATTCAGTGGCAAGCCTTCGAGTGGATGTCTACCACGGAAAAGCTACTCATTATAACCCATCAGCCGTTCGAAGGTAGATCAAAAAAATAGATCTCAGCTCAGTCAGATAGGAAGTTCTACAAATTTTTTAATTATTAAACAGCTCACAAAAGCTTCTTTTAGAACCAGGCGCTTTTAATAACAGTTGAACCTTTTTTATTAATTTATTATAAAAGTATTGTTATACTTTAAACGGAATCATATAAATCAAATTCTCAAACTTTATGTATAACAAAATTAATAATAATTTAAATAATTTTCAGCAAGATTTAAAACTTATTAATCTGAGTATTTATAGCAAGCAAGGCTTCAAAACTCGTGTTTTTGCAAAAATGTTAATTTTATTGCGGAGTCCGGTAGAATACCCATCTAGTAAAAATGTTTGTTCGGTAAGATTTTAATTCAAGGCGGCAAACCCCTAGAAATGGGCGTAACAATTTTGGAACTGAAGTTAAGAAAGCCCAAATTTTATTGGAGATTTCGGCAGAATATTCCTTCGTTAAGAACATTTGTTCTGGAACTTTTTTTTTAATCGAAGAATCTTCTGGAAATGATCGTCATAATTTAAGGACCGAAGTTGACAAATCTACATTTTATTGTGGATTTCGGCCGAATATCTATTCACTAACAATGTTTGTTCCACATTTTTTATTTAATTTTTTTTTTATTGACCTCATATGACAAAAAAA